GCCCCTGTGCTGCAGAAAGACCTCAGAGCCCTGCGCTCTCTCAAGGGATGGGCTGGGAGGCAGAACTTGACGGGGCCTGTTAGAGATGTTACAGGCCCAGTGCGGGAAGCTGTTTTGATTAAATTTGGGAGTATAATTGCAGGGTTTGTGCTGCGGTCTCATTATGGCTTTTTAAATCTTGTTAACCTCTCTTCCCCGTCTCCCAGCCCCCTCACTTCCCTCCGCAACCACAGGCTGTGGCCTTAGAACAATACCAGGAATAGTTTCTGTCTCTCCGTCACGGCTTTCTCCTACTCCTCTAGACTGGATCCTGGAGGCCAGATGGACTGAAGGCAGGAAGCAGGGAGGAAGGCTTGGTGAGCCGAGTGGGGATTTTATGTGGCTCAGTCACCCGGAGTGCCTCTTGGGTCAGTCCCCATGCATCCAGCAGGGTGGAGGGTGACATGAAGGGGTATTTGTCATGATTTTTAGTGATGGTATGAGTGAATGGAGATTGGCTTCTGGAATTTGAGAGTGGCTGGAAGGGATGGGCTGGGGAGGGGTTGGCAGTGGCCTGGAAGGTTAGGAGGAAATGGAGAATGAGGGACGAGCTTGGTGTGGGAAAATGTGCAAGGTGCAACCTCTGGGCAGGGATTGCATTAGGTAGGAGAGGCCAGGCTGTGGCACAGTCACAGATAAGCCCTGGCCTCTCAGCGGCTTCATGCAATAATGGATTGCGCTTCTCATTCTTGGAAAGTCTTAGTGGGCTGAGCGCAGAGGGATGGCTCAGTGTGACCGTGGAGTTGTGGTGGACTGGGAGAGTGGACTGTTTGGTGCCCAGGGAGGCCGTGCTGGCAGATGAGGCCAGGGCAAGGGGGCGCGGTGCAGGATGAGGGCCTCCAGGCCTCTGCCTGCCATGCTGCAGTGGTGTGGCATCGGGCTGTGAGCTCCCCTGGGGAGTGGATGCCATCCCCAGTGGGGCTGAGGGGAGAGGGTGTTGCCTGGGGAAGCAGGGCTGAGGCAGCAGCCTGGGCTGCAGGGAGAGGGTGGGGAGCCTGGCTCCACCCCTGCAGCTGTCTCTCCCCAAGGGCTCTCTGGCCACTCCTCTTCTCCCTCTGCTTCCCCTCCCACCTCATGACTCAGTCGCTGTCTTCAGCCCTGACTCTGTCCTGAACTCCCCAAGCTGCACCGATCACCTCCCTTTAGGGTGATGGCACTTTCAGCCACCCAGAGTACAGGCCTCAACCCTTCGGTCACAGACGCCCCTCTGGCCCCCACCCCATCATCCAAACATTGAGTCTATGGATTCCTCCTGCTCAATATCCCTGGAATCTTCGTCCTCAGCTGCCTCCACCCTTCCCTGTCCTGCGCCATCTGCTCGCTGCTGGGCCATGTGGTCACCTTCTCACTGGTCTTTCAGCAGCTGCCCTTGCACCCTCCACCCCGCAGTTCTTGATGCTGTAGCTACAGAGGGTTATTCCCAAAATCTGGTCAAACAGCTCTCTGCTTCAAACCCGTCTCTGGCTCCCTCCTGGCCCCCAAGTCCTTCACCCGCAGGTTCCTGCCTATCTCATCTCTAGCCGCTCAAGCCTGTAGGTGGCCTAGCGAACCAAGTCATGCACGAAGCTCTGAGCAGCGTCGTGCATGCAGCTTAACTAGTCCTCAAATGCCGCCTCTTTTTTTTTTTTTGAGACGGAGTTTCACTCTTGTTACCCAGGCTGGAGTGCAATGGCGCGATCTCGGCTCACCGCAACCTCCGCCTCCTGGGTTCAGGCAATTCTCCTGCCTCAGCCTCCTGAGTAGCTGGGATTACAGGCATGCGCCACCATGCCCAGCTAATTTTTTGTATCTTTAGTAGAGACGGGGTTTCACCATGTTGACCAGGATGGTCTCGATCTCATGACCTCGTGATCCACCCGCCTCGGCCTCCCAAAGTGCTGGGATTATAGGCTTGAGCCACCGCACCCGGCCCCAGATGCCGCCTCTTTTAGGAAGCCCCTCTGGCTCTCACAGATGAAGCAATCTCCCCCATTCTTTCAGTGCTTTGCCACAGCCCCCACTTTCTAGCCTATATTGCAGCAAATGACATCCATGTTTCCTCTGTTCCAGCAACAGCAAGCTCCTCCTGGGCAGGGCCATCCTATTCCCCACCAGCGTTCCCGTCCAGATGCCATAGCCAGCACTCGGATGGGGTGCAGGAGGGCCCCCACCTTACTGAATGAGTGAGTGAATGAGAGCTGCAGTTGGGGCTGGGCTTTCTGCAGGGAAGAGCGACCAGGAACCAAACACTGGGAAACCTTTAGGTCAGAGCCTGGGCGTCAGAGCTTCAGACACTGTGCTGGGCATGGTCTGTCCATCAGAAGACAGAGAAGGCCGGGTCAGAGGAGGAGGAGGAGCGATGGACTGTGGGCAAGCAGCACACTGCCTCCTGGCAGGGTCCTACTCACATGGTCGGTGGTGGGGGGAAACACATGTGTGGGCAGCTCCCTTGGGGTGGGAGCTGAGCCAGATGTGGGAATATTGCCCTCTCCCAGCGCTGTCCTGGCAGTGCAGGGCTGTGTCTCAACAGCCATCTTAGAAAACACTGGCTTAGTTCTTCACAGCCCAGGGGAGGGCCAAGGGGCATTTTCCAGAGCAAAGGGACAAGGGCAGCTAAGCCATGGTCCCCACTCCGTGCCAGAATCTTCATTCCATCCATGGGGTCCTCTGTCTGTTCATCAAAGCGTTTGCCTCCTGCCTCTCAGCCTGTCTCTTGCCTCAGCCCAGAATGCCTCTTCCTTCATGGATTGAGCCAGGTCTTACCCATCTACAAGGCCTTTCTTCTAGGAAGATTTATGGGACTTGCCAACCTCCTCCTGCCCTGTCAGTGCCAGTATATACAATAAGCCATTATTGTGGCTGCACGGCTATCTCTGGGAGACCAAGCAGAGGAAGCAGAGAGCAAACTCTCTCTCTGTGTGGCCCCAAGAGCTGTCCTCTCTGTACATTTGTGAAACTGAGCTGGGGTGGTAGGATGAGGGCTGGACGGGAGTCAGGACACCTAGCTCCTGCACCTGGCTTGGTTGAAGCCGGAGCAGGCTACTTTCCTCCCTGATCCTCCGTTTCCCCATCAGTAGAATGGAGAGGTTGGGCCGGGGGGGTGGTGAAGGACCTTACAGCTCTAATATCAACATTGTTGAACACAGAAGCCTACCACGGCAGCAGCTGGTTGATGAGAGCCCAAGGAATGGTCCCTGGTTACCCCAGGCGGGGTTATCTGACCAGTGTCCCAGGATGGTGGGGCCTCCCCAGGGATGCAGATTTTCAGTGTCAGGCCCAAGATGCTGGCCAGGAAAGAGGGAGCAAGAGTTGCTGAAGGTCAAGAGCAGAGCAACAGATGAAACCAATGGCCTGTGTTTGTCAATCCAGGTTGGGGTGAGAGGGCAGAGAGCTCTGGGCAACCTGACCAATCAGAATGGGCATGACTCTGGAGGTCTGGGTTCGAACTGGGTTTCACCACTGCAATGATAGGACTTTGGGTTAGTGATTTAAATACCTCTGGGTCCAGGTTCCCACTGCAAAATGGGGGAGAACAATACCTACCTCACAAGGCTGTTGTGAGAAGTAAATGTCAGCACATGCTTGAAACGGTTTAGTAGCATCTGAGCTTAGCACATCATAATTGCTCAATAAACCTTCATTCTTTTATTTTTATTTTAATTAAAAAAAAATTTTTTTTTTGAGACGGAGTTTCACTCTTGTTACCCAGGCTGGAGTGCAATGGCACGATCTCTGCTCACCGCAACCTCCGCCTCCTGGGTTCAGGCAATTCTCCTGCCTCAGCTTCCTGTGTTGCTGGGATTACAGGCACGCGCCACCATGCCCAGCTGATTTTTAGTAGAGACGGGGTTTCACCATGTTGACCAGGATGATCTCGATCTCTTGACCTCGTGATCCACCCGCCTCGGCCTCCCAAAGTGCTGGGATTACAGGCTTGAGCCACCGCGCCAGGCCCAATAAACCTTCATTCTTTCCCTCCTCCTACCCTCTTCAGTTTCCATCAAATACATTTGCTGATCCGACACCAGTGAGCCATACAAGGGTGTATGTCAGGCCTTCTATCCCACCTGCCAAGGTGTGCACTCAGCAGCCACAGTCCCAACACTGTGCTGTGCTCAATATCTTGGGGTATCTGGTGTGGTGTTTTCCTTCCAGGCGCTTAGCATCTGCTGGAGAGACAAGACCACACTCACACTCACACAAACTACTAAGAAATGGATGAATGACATTTCTCCATTACCTGGCTTTGTTGTAGGCCTGGGAAAGTCAATGTCAATGTCATTATCCCAAGAAAGGGATAAATGGCATTTCTCCAAAAAATGCCTCATGAATAATTCAGAGCATGGTGGTTCCACATGAACCATAAGCACTAGAGAGATGAGGGTTCAGGAAACAGGGTTCAGTCTGGATGGGAGTAACCAGAGCAGGGGAGAGGCTACGCTGCCTGCGGCCAGCTGAGTTGAGAGAAGCTGGGCTGGAGTGCGACTGATAGGTTAGACATGGGTCGACTACTTAGGCTAGAGGGTCTCCAGGGCACAGTGAAGCCAGGGCTCGGGACGTGCTTCTGTGGGCAGAGCCCTGGAGTGAGGGGTTGCAGGAGTCCAGCTTTCACGGCCAAGCCTCCTGACCTCAGGTATGTGGAGCCTGATCTTCCAGGTAGCAGGCAGACAAATGGCCTTTCAGCTTCTGCTAGGATTGGCTGGGATAGGATGGAGCTGATAAGAACAATTGTGGACTGAGGAGATGGGAGGGTGGGGCTGGGGCCAAGGTGGGGGCTACTCCCTAGACAGAAATTCAACTCCACCTCCATCTGTCATGGACCGCCCCTGGCAACGCAAAGGCCAAGGAAATGGAATTAACATGTGCTCAGCATCTACACGGTGCCAAGCCCACACCTGGCACTTCACCTTCAGGAGTTCATTTTCCCCATGCTGGCCCTATTCTCTTCAGATCCCCAGTAAGGGAAACTGAGGCTCAGAGGGGTCAAGGCCCAGAGTCTTGCAGAGAGTGGTAGGCTGGAGCCCTGTGCTCTTCCTCCGGTACCACACTGCGTCTCCATGACTTAAAGTTTGCACTCTAAGTCTTAGCATGGACTCCAGCTGTCTACCATTTACCTCCTAGACTGAAACCGCCCGTCGCAGTGGAAAGGCTGCACTATGCCCTAGGGCATGTTCCTCATTTCATCAGCCACTGTCATGCCCGGTTACACATGCAGCCTCCTGGAGGGCAGGGGCTGGGTCTCATTCCTGGACCCAGCGCAGCCCTGGCACAATTGCCAGGGCAGAAGCGATTCTGGTAATGAGAGTGAGTGGTGAGTGGAACTACCCCAACCAGGCGGGTGTGTTTCTGGAATCCACGGATGAGGTGTTTGCTGACAAGTCCCGGAGGGAAAGAGGGAGGGGCGAGGGACTGCCCACCTCCCTCCAGCAGGAATTCCTCCTAACGGGCTGAGTTCTGGGCTGATGAGAGAAATGTTGGACAGGACCCTAACAAGAGAAGGCTCTAGCTGCAGCACGGAGTGAGTAATTAGACGCTAATTCATTTGCATTTCACAGGAGAGTCAGGGATGTTGGGGAAACAAAGCTGCGAAGATGAAAGGCCTCTTGGAGAAGGGAACACTGGGGACAAGAAGCTCAGACGGAGCCGGGGAGGTGCGGCGGCGCAGGTGTGCTTCGGGCACTCAGTGGCATGGATGGCGGGATGGGGCAGAAGGTCCGAAGGTCCCTGCCATGCCCTCGAGGGCTCCAAACAGCAGGCTGGGCTACCTACCAGTGCCCTTGGGATGCTTTTTTCTCTGCATTTGGAATGACCAGAAGGGAGACAGCAAGACAATGAGACAGAGGCCCGTAGATCCTCTCCATTTCTAGAGTAGGGGTTAACCAAGTTTACCTGTCAACGGTCACCTGGTAAATATTTTAGGCCTTGTGGGTCGTACCCTGTCTGTCACATATTCTTCTTTGTAAAAGACACAAAAATCGTTCCTAGTTCTAGGAACCAAGCAAAACAGACCACCGCTGGCCTTGACACCTGGGTCCGGAGCTTCCCTCTCAAGATGGAACGTAAGGCCCAATATCCATTCTGCATTTCTAACACGTTCGCAGGTGAACACAGAACGCACTTTGATCACGGAGGGTCTGAGGTCGCTCTGCAGCACGGGGTCTGCACTGGGAGGCCAGCCATCTAGGAACTGCTGAAGGCCTTGATGGAAGGTGCCTGCCTTGTTTGCAGAACTCAGTGGTAGCAGTGGGTCCACACACTCAGAGTTCCCTCCTAGGAAGGCCCTGCTGCCCTTCTGCAGGGAGCGGGGCAGGCAGGCCGCCCCAGCTGTCAGCTCCTTCAGGGTGTCTGCCTCAGCTGCAGATACCACCTCCTTTGAGGTCACACCCTCCCCGGGGGAGCCTGTGTCTGGTGACTTAGCACAATGGGAGTGGAAAGTCCTGTCTACTTCAGAAGACACAGGATGACTCCTTGCCAGGCACTGGGTCTTGGTCACACCTGCTTTGCAATTTGCTTTCAATCTCCGTCAGCCTAATCCATCTCCCCTTTCCTTTCACTGGTAGATCTTTAATAAACCCCTGGTACCCCAAACTCCCTCCCAGAGTTCACTCCTAGAGAACCAGCCTGTGACACAGGTGATGGGAACGCATCCTGGCTGGGGAAAATGGTGACCTCAGGTTGGGGGTTGGTACCAGCAAGATTTGCCTGGGGGCCACCACACATCATTTTGGAAACTAGAGGCATCTCAGGGCTAAGACCTCCCAGGGATCCCAGCATGGCCAGGAGAAAGCAGGGCAGATGGAAGCAGGAGCGCAGTGGTGCCGGGTCTTCTAACCTGGATGTGCTGTGTGTCTCCATGCAAGTCGCTGCTGCTCTCTGAGCCTGTATTTCCTCATAAGGAAAATGGGCCTCATGAGCCATTCTCCTGGCTGTCTTTCCTGTGGCTTCTGTAGCAAATCACCCCAAACTTGGTGGCCTGAAACAACAGAGGTTTATTATTTCACAGTTCTGGAGGACAGAAATCAAAAATTGGCATCATTGGGCTAAAATCGAGTCATCAGCGCCGTGCTTCCTCTGGAGGCTTTAGGGGAAACTTGATTCTTGCTTCTTCCGGATTCTGGGAGCTGCCAGCATTCTTTGGTTTGTGGCCTCATCACTCCGATCTTCAATACCAGCATCTTCAGCTCCCCCTCTGTTCTCACTTCATATCACTGTCTCTCTGTGTGTCAAATCTCCCTCTGTCCATCTCTTGTAAGGACACTTGAGGTTGCATTTAGGACACATCCTGATCATCTAGGATAATCTCCCCATCTCATATTCTCTAACTTAATCACATCTGCAAAGATTTTTTTTTTCCCTCCAAATAAGGTCACATTTACAGCTCCAAGATTAGGACCTGCTGTCTTTGGGAGCCAGGATTCAGCTGACTCCTCCTGCCGTATGTCTCCCTTGCAGGCTTTTTAGCTCTGCCGAAGTTCTCCTTCCCGAGCTGTAGTTCTAGATGCTGGCCCGTACCACTTGCTTGCTCAGCTCAGAGGTTCTCATTCTGCCAAAAATTATTTTTAATGTGTATTGATTAAATATATGGCTGCTCGGCTCACACTGTTGGTTTCCTCCACAACTAATATTTACTGAGTACATAGTGTTTGCTCCGTGTTTTACTCGAATTATCATCCTTCTGCCCAAGGAGGTTAAGTGCTGTTACAATCCCCATCATGCAGGTAAAGAGACAGGGGCAGAGAAGCAAAATGACTCACTGTCCGCTGATGTGGTGCTGGGATTCCCGCTCTGGTTGTCTGAGTGAAGGACCTTCTCATCCCCCACAGGTACTGCCTCCCCAGCATGAATAGGGCTTCTCTTTGGAACTGCTTACAAAGTCTGGTTGTTTTTGGACTTCGGAGCAAGTTTCTTATCAGATTCTACACATTAAGGCATAACACAGGCAAGGCTGTTCTAGAATGCTGAGAGCCAATTGTAAGAGCCAGGGAATGAGGTTCGTTTGGGGGCTGCGTTTGTGACCTCTGCTGTCAAGCTGAGCCTGGCGGGCAGGGGAGGAGGGGGTGTTCCAGACTCTCCTCTAACCCTGTGACAGCACATCTCAGCGGCTCTTCATTACTCTTCCAACTTTGAACTGCTGGGGACTTGGCATGTCACTCTTGTTGCTGTTAAACGTTTAGGGTGAGCTTCTGGGTTCAGCTACTTATTCATCAGCAAATGAGCAGCACACGTTGCTAGTCATAGACGATTGCATTGACGCTTTGTCCTGACTTTAATTTCAGACCCTAGAAGTACTTATATGTAAAAAATCGTGTCAGTCTATGGAAGAAAACTGCAGTGGATGGGCATTTACAAATGATTATCTTGTGTGTAAGGGCTTCGAAAACCATTGCTTCAGCAGCATACATACTAAAAAGTTGGAACAATACAGAGAAGACTAGCATGGCCCCTGTGCAAGGACGACAAAAATTCATGAACTGTTCCATATTGATTTTTTTAAGCCCATAAGTGGCAAAGTGGATTGGCCCCTTTAAGAGTGTTGCCGTCAAGGGAGAACTGAATTTTACAAACATGCATGCAAGCAGATCTCAAGTTAGAGGGTATGAAGCTGGTCTACACACATCTTATTTCTCTGGATAGAAAGAGCAGCAGGATCAAACGGGCTTAAGGGTTTGGGGGCGTGTAGCATTTGCCAAGCTGGTGCCAAGAATGGATGTAGGCACGTGGTAGGAGGGGTCATGGTAGGAGGAGCGGCGATGCAGGCATTTTGCGGCACAGGTGTGGAGATGGTGGGACAGGGGCAGAAGATCTGAAGGTCCCTGCAAGACCCTCGATGACGTCAAGCAGCAGCCTGGGCTGCCTACCATTGCCCCTTGGATACTTTTTAATTTGCATTTGGAATGGGCAGACTGAGACAGAGATGCATGGATACTCTATTTTCATCTGAGAGTATCCATCTACTGGAGACACTCCATCGGCCGTGAAGGGGCACTTTGTAGACCACGCCAAGGGCTTGAACTTAATTCTCAAGGCCACAGGGCACCTCTGCAAGATTTGAAAAGTGACATGTTTATGTGCTTTAGAAATATTTTTCTGGCTGTGATAATGGCCCCAGTAAGAGGTGAGGAGGGCCTGGATTCCCATTGATAAAGAGTAAGGACTGGCCAGGAGCAGTGGCTCAAGCCTGTAATCCCAGCACTTTGGGATGCAGCGGTGGGCAGATCACAAGGTCAGGGGTTTGAGACCAGCCTGACCAACATGGAGAAACCCCATCTCTACTAAAAATATAAAAATTAGCTGGGTGTGGTGGTGCACACCTATAATCACAGCTACTCAGGAGGCTGAGGCAAGAGAATTGCTTGTACCCAGGAGGCAGAGGTTGCAGTGAGCTGAGATCATGCCATTGCACTCCAGCTGGGCAACAGAGCAAGACTCTCTCTCTCTCCCTCTCCCTCTCTCCCCCTCCCTCCCTCTCTCTCTCTCTCTCTCTTTCTCTCTCTCTCTCTAGCTATATATATATATGGACTGGGTTTGAGAGAGAGGCCAGTCCAGTCCAGCTAGGAGTTGGCTGTGGATGGGGAACAGGGGGAGAAGGAGAGAAAGTTGCCCCTGTGCAGCTTGGGTGAGTGGGCGCACGTGGAGCCTTTCACAGAGATGCGGCACCAGGATGCAGAGAACCAGTGGGACTGTGCCTGTGGGAAGAAGGCACAAAGACAGTTTCACCAAGAGGGGAACTATGGGTCAGGAAGAGGCAATGGCTGAGAGGGATAGAAAGTGTGTGCTGTCCCCTCTGTCATGAGGCAGGATGCTGAAAACTGAAGCTGGGCAGAGGCACAGATGGAGGAGGTGGCAGCATCAGGCGTCCATGGGACAACTCTGGGGCAGAAACCAAGTCTAGGCCTGTTCTGTCCTGACTCACCATGCACCTTTGGCAAGGCACTCTCTTCCTCTGCCTCAGTTTCCTCATCTTCAAAACCCGGGAGTTGAACCACATTGAGGGTTCCTCCAAGGAGATGGGCTGGCGAGGGGATGTCTTTGAGCCCCTGGAAACTGTGTGCAAAATTGTGTGCCCATGTCCCCTTTTGCAGAGGGGCCAGCAGGGTCACTTGAGGAAGGAAGTGATGTCAGATCTCAAGGCCACACCCGCAGCTGGAGACATGCTGGTAAAAATTGCTCTCTACATATGCCCAGGATGAGTCTCATCTCACCCAACCAGTTCCTGGAAGGCAGAGATCTGGGTCATAGGATGTGTCTCGACACCCCACAGGGGTCTTGCAATACCGGTAGAGCCACATAGGCTGGTATGGAGGTGCCTCAGTATATCTGGGTCTTCTAAGACTCCGCCCCTTGGTCAGCCCAGGCATGTACTCCTTACTGGTGCCTCTGGGGCCTCCAAACCCTGCCTCTCCCTCCTCCACCCTGCAAACTCTTGCTCCTTCTCCATGCAGTTTTCCATTCCCCCAAAGGAGCCCTGATTTCTCACTGCATTGGGATTTTCCAGATGAGGCGTCTGTACCTTACGCACAGCCTGCTTTTCACCTATCTGGGATGGAGGTCATCTGCACGTTCCTGTGTCTTTCCTTCTCCTCTGCTCTGGGATGGAGGTCATCTCCATGTTTCTGTCTCTTTCCTTCCCCTATGCTCTGGGATGGAGGTCATCTGTACGTTCCTATGTCTTTCCTTCCCCTCTTCGCTGGGATGGAGGTCATCTGCATGTTCCTGTGTCTTTCCTTCCCCTCTCTGCTCTGGGATGGAGGTCATCTGCATGTTCCTGTGTCTTTCCTTCCCCTCTCTTCTCTGGGATGGAGGTCATCTGCATGTTCCTGTGTCTTTCCTTCCCCTCTCTTCTCTGGGATGGAGGTCATCTGCATGTTCCTGTGTCTTTCCTTCCCCTCTCTTCTCTGGGATGGAGGTCATCTGCATGTTTCTGTGTCTTTCCTTCCCCTCTCTGCTCTGGGATGAAGGTCATCTGCATATTCCTGTGTCTTTCCTTCCCCTCTCTGCTCTGGGATGGAGGTCATCTGCATGTTCCTGTGTCTTTCCTTCCCCTCTCTGCTCTGGGATGGAGGTCATCTGTATGTTCCTGTCTCTTTCCTTCCCTTCTCTACCACATGGGCCTTTTCCTGGCAGGGACCATGCCGTAGGTACCTCAGTGTCCCTAAGTGTCTCCCTTAGTGGCTGACACATACTTGGTGCTCCATATAAGTTTCTGGAGTCGCCCTAACTTACAGAATGACAGCTAGCAGTGTAGTTCCTGTTTCCAACCCAGGTGCCTCACCTGCCCTGCTTCCCTGAGAGTTGCTGGGAGGACCAGCAGCAGCAGCGACCGGCACCTGCAGTTCCTGGCAGCATTTGCAAAGTCCCTCATGGGTCTTTTCCCACTGGATCCCAGGATGGCGAGCGTGAAATGAGATCAATAAAAGATTGCACAAATTCTGTTGGACTCACACATAGGATGGAAAGAAATACCCACATCTGAAGCATGTTGGAGCAGGCCTTCCACCAGGCCCTTTAGAAACAGGGTTGTATGTGTCGTGTAGAACAAACCTGGCTGACAGGACAGGCATTAGCATGCCCATTTTACAGATGTGGACACTGGATCTGAGAGTGTACGGGCCTTGCTTACGCTCCCACTGCTACACCAGTGGCACCAGCACGCTGTCCCTGGGGTCAGAGCCAGAGTGTGTAAGGTGATGTTTTCCCTGGTGGTGAGCAGATGGGCTTGTGCCCTACCTGCATGGTCCCATGTAAAGTCCAGCCGAGATCCACTTCCCTCCCTGGTTTCCTTGCCTGGGCTTTGCTCAGTTCCTTCTCTTCATACATCACAGGATGCCCTCTGAGCAGGCAGGGAGGCCTGTGAGCCTGGCAAACAAGCTGTTTGCTCTGGGAGGTGGGCTGCTTCTGAGGACAGAACAGGATTTCTGGGACTGGTGCGAAGGAAGTCACCCACAGCCTGGCTGCCTGGCTGGGCAGACAGTTGAGGTGGCCAGAGGAACTTACAAGTGGCCCTCTAGTCTCAGGGGAAAGGCTGCAGGGCTGGAAAGAGAGCAAACTCTATGACTGAGCTGTGGGAAGGCTGGCCCGAGCCCCAGGGCCTTGCTGATGGCAGGCTGGCTGCCGGGGCACCCCCAGACGGGCCAACAGAGCCAAGCCGACAGCCGGGAGAAAGGCCTGCCCTCCCACACACGTGGGGATGAGGGCTGCTGAGTCACTGCCCAGCTGGACGCAGCTCCCACCAAGAGCTGGATGGAAGGTGGGAGAGCATTCCCAGCCAGGCCGGTGGCCTCAGGACACCCTGAAGTTAGCTGAGCCCTCTAAATGGGTCATGGTAGCCCGGGCTGCCCCTCGCACTCCTGAGCTGAGGCATATTTGCCTGTAGCCAGCTCCTGGGGAGCTCCGATCAGGCAAACAGCCCTTCAGACAGAGTTTTGGGCTAGAGGTCAGATCCCTGAACTTTGGGAAATAAAACAACCCCAGGGCAAGTCACTTCATCTCCCACATGCTCACCTTTCCTCTCAGTGACATGGTGAGGCCACAGGGGATGTGGGGAAGGTCTTCAGGTGTTGCCCTGCGTCTAGTAAGATTCAGGCAGGCTGGTGGCACCGCTCCACGCCTTCCCCGAGGAAGGGACAGCAGCCTGGTCCCCTCTGCCCCTGGCCTGCCACGGTTCCCTCCTTTGGCGGTGTCATCCCTGCCTTGGGCCCTTCAGAGCAACCAGGCCCTTCCCTGGAGGGCCGGGGGGCAGTTCCTGGGGAGGAGCTGGGGTCACCTCCTGACCTGGCCTGGCCTGGAATCCACCTTTCGCCTCAGGCAGTGGGCAGAAGAGGGTACCGGCCCTGCAGGCGGAGGCTTCTCTTCCCTCCAGCACCAGCAGTGCCCGCTGGGAGGCCCAGGTGTTGTGCAACTTGAGAGGCAGCTAAGCCAGTGGACCACTCTGCTGGGACAAGTACCAACAGGAAGCCGCAGCACGCATCCAGTTCACATTCCAGGGCACCCAGTCCAGCCCAGAGACACCGTAACTAGACACCACTCTGGCTGGGGTTGCCTGTGACACAAAGCAATCTTTTATCTGCCATCTAAGCCTCCCAATTTGCACGGCAGTGACGTACCTTCCACCGCAGGGCGCTTTCCAAACCTTCTAGTGAGGCTGTGTCTCCTAAGCTCTGAGCAAACAGGGAGTGGGCGATTCTGTAGACACAGGAAGGCTCTGCTTATGATTGTCAGGCGTGTGGCCTTCGAGGGAGGGTCCCATCTGCAGGAAGCAGGGCCCCAGAAGAGGACCTGACACCCAGTGGGTGCTCAGGGAGCATTCAGTGGCAGCTCACTGAGCAAGCCACATCTCCAGGGATTAAAGAAAAGAAAGTGAAGCAGAATCTGGTTAAGCGGGGCCCATGTGTGCCCAGAGAAATCCCCCACCCCATCACATCCACATAGGCCCTCCCCCTCCACACACACATCACTGAGTTACTTCTCATGCTTGGAGCAGGATACCGTGGCAATATAGGACTCAAGCCTTTTATCTCTCAGGCCCAGAATGGGAAAGGAACTCACTCAGAGTCACCCAGCAGATTAATGACAGCACTTTTGATGGTTAGTATTTTTTATTTTCCCGCGTCCTGCCATTTCATTCCACAATTGTCCTTCTCCAGCCCTCTCCCACCCAAGTCCCTGCATCTGCTGCTCCTGCCGCTAGTTCCCCGTGCTGCATTTGAAATGCTTAGGGAAAGGGGATTGCTGGCACAGGGAAGGGCACGTGCAAGCTCCCAAGGCAGCAGGGAGCAAGTGAGGAGAGCACCTACCCGGGCAAGCAGGACTCAGAGGCGCGGGGGCAGTGGGGGTAGGTGGGAGTCGGAATAAGATCCAACTTCATGAAGTTTGTTTCTGGATGTGGAGCTAGCAGCTCACAGGGCCATCTTCTGTCTTCGGGCAGGTAAGACTCCCTGCTTGTGACGAAAGAAGCCTCTGCAGTCCTGAGGCACAGAGGATCTGGGTATGAGCTTGCAGGGATGTGGGATGGGGGCGTGTGAGAGAACACACATCTCCTGCTTCCCAGGTCAGAGTGCCAAGGAGGGTTTCCTGGAAGGCACAGACTTTGTGTGGGGCCCGGAGGAGATTAGCCTGCTGTGGGCAGGCTCCCAGGGTGCCAGTGACCAGACTTTCTTAAATGGTTGAACTATTTCTCCCAGAGGGGAGAAGCCCTTCCCCTCATCCTGAAAGCTGTGTGAGCGCCCTGGGCAAGCTCTATGGATTTGGGTCAGGAGTGAGGCAGGAGGTCATACCATAGGCATCTTCCTGGGCCAAGCGCGGCTGCCCCCAGGTGTGCCTCAGGCATTGGGCCCAGCCTGATGTGTCTCAACAGGGTAGGGCTGGCCAGAGGCTGGCATGGGTGGGTGTTGGGGGAAACCAGAGGAGGAAAGGTGAGCCAGGGCTCCCTGATGTGACCTCAGAGATAACCTTGAGGTCAGCCCGTAGGGGCCCTGGGGGTGGAAAGGTGAAGGGAGCCTGGCACCCTTGCTGGTTGTGAAATGATGGCATCTCCTGCCGGTCTGGAACAACACATAGTTTGCCACAGAGCCTGATCCTTTGGGACCAAGTGGTCAGTGCAATTGGAGTTCAACACACACATGCACACATTGCACACCTACTGTGGCCAGGTGTTGCCAGGAGCGGTGGAGCCTCTAGGAGCTCAGTGTGGAGAAGAACCATGCACTGCTCAGAGAACACGGGCAATAGAGTTCCGCTTGAGGGGAATTATTTTTAAAGTGCTACCGAATCTCTGAGGAGGGAGAAAGGAATTCTGGTTGGAAAAGGCCGGGAGCAGCTCTGGTTAGATGTAAATGAGAAATGAGTTGGGGCTGAAGCATCAGGGTGGGGAGGAGGTGGGATGGGGCAGGCATTTCTGGCAGTGAGAACAGGTTAGGCTCAGAGCATGGTGGAACAGGGAGGGGTCTTGTGTGCATGGAGCTAGGAAGTGCGGTGAGGAGTGTGGGAGGCGAGGCTGCGTAGCTGAGAGGGAGGACACCAGACCTTTTTATTTCCCAGGCATTCTCTGTTTTAGGCCAAGTCTTCACACTTTTGGGATCCATAGTCTCGGGACTTCTACATCTGGGAAGGATATCCAGGGGTGGGCTGTTCCAGACTGTCATTCTCAAACTTAGGTGTGCATCCGAAACCCTGGGGTCCATTGAAACAGAGTGTCCCCCATATTCGCCTGGGGATTATGATTCAGTAGGTTTGGCGTAGAGCCTGTGAGTTTGCAGTTCAGACTAGTTCCCAGGTGATGCTGATGCAGCGGACTGGTCTGTGGACCACACTTTGAGTAGCATTGGTCTAGTTTGCCCCCATGAGATGCCCTGGGCAGTTGCCTGCTGGGAAGTCTCATCCTACTCAGCCCAGTTGTTTCTGGGACTGTCTTTGGGGCTCAGAGACCTTGTGTGGGAGAAATGAGAAGATGCCCTGAGTGTCCCCATCTCCACCGCCCAGGCCAGGCTGTGATTCTCAGTAAGGCCCCGGGTCACTTTGTGGATCAGGAACAGTGACAATCCTGTGAGAATGATGTTTTCTGACACTCTAGGAATGGGGTAGAGGAGAGGAACTCTGGTCCCCAGTCTCCCATCTAGAACACTGGCAGGGGGTGCTTTGGATCCAGGAGGAAGGAGACCGGAGGCCCCATCAATTCATGGAGAGATGAGAGTGTAAGGGGAGGTGTGTATGTGCGTGCACACGCGCAGCCCAACACCCACTGCAAACAAGAACTCAGAGTTAGTTATGACCCTGGGCAGGCCTTTTCCTTTTTCTCAGGGTCATTTTCCTCCTCTGGGAAAAATAAGGGCATTGGATTAGATGGTTCCTCCTGAGAAAGAGAGACCTGAGAGACTGCCCTGGTAACAGCGTCATCGTCTGATTAGCACTCAATTTAAAACAGCTAACAGACATCTAAAACTTTGCAAGCCTTGGCAATTACTGGGCAGAGCTGGAGCAGAAGCTCCGTCTGTGGGGACCAGCCCATCTCTGAGGGTGTCATCAGCCACTCGGGACCTTCAGCACGGATACCATTGCCCCGAGGGAGCTTGTAATGCAAAACAACGGCAGCTCTTTCTCCAGCAGCTCCCTGAGGATCCACAGAGGTGGTTTTCTTGAGTCCTTACTGGGCTAGAGGTGAGCTGTCCCGGGAGTTCTGCTGAAGCTGGCAGAGGCTGGCCCCTCTCCCCTCCTCCCTTTCCCTCAGGGCTCTGGCCACTGACACTAGCCCAATTACAGCATCCTTCTGAGAGGCTGGCAAAGAAAGCAAAGGATCTGAAACAGAAGGAGGTCTGAACCCCCAGAGAAGCCCCTGAGCTGAGAAGGCTTCAGCAAGGGTACACACAGGTGTAGGATTCGGCCTTGGATTGAATCCAAGTTCTGCCTTCACAAGCTG